GCCGCCCCGCCCTGCTGCGCGCCAGGATCTGCCTGGCCGTGGCCGCCTTCTCCGTCCTCATCATTGTCTACATCCACCTACAATGACACCCGCCTCGCCCGGGGTCAGCAGAGATGTCCACTTGTGCTCGCATCGCCGAAATACGCGCATACAAGTGAACCTTTCTGCGCGTTAAATGCATTCCCTTTGTTAACAATTTGAATGTAGAGATAGTTTTATATTGTACAAATTGTAGCATTTATACTCAAATGCAAAATAGTCTGACAAATGCAGTATCTTACTTCGAATTACTTGTATTTGACGTCCTTAATACATACAGTCTATAATATCTTTAAACGACAAAAGGAAATAGATGATTTCTATATCGAGAAAATACTTGAAAGATTTGGATCATAATCGGAACTAAGTCAAAAACATATAAAATTAAAGCGACTTATTTTCGATGAGTTAGTAAAAAATAAAATCTTGTTTAAATTGCAACACAAACAGTTGGAACATGTGTACAGTCTAAATACATGCGCTTTAAATTGTTTAATCTTTGATTCTTAGGTTTTTAAATAAACATAAATGCAACTCAAGTGCGCAATTTACGCACAGTAAAAAAATATTAATATAAGTACATATATTTACATATTTCTGAAGATCTTTGTTCCACTTTGATATTTTTTCACGTTTAATTGAAGTTCTAAATTTTATTTTGTTTCTGACCTACGTTTTTACACTGATTTCTATAAATGGACGGGCTACAAGACACGTAAGAGTTTCCAAGCATTGAACTATCCATATATACAGATCAGATTTTATTACCCTTTTTGTTTGTTTAATTTTCTTTTTACTAACCGTGTTTCAATGGCCTTGTGTTTGTGAATTGTGAGCTATATTTTTACTAACTGCTTGTTTTATTTTTTATTATTATTTTCTTTAAAAGCATCCTCTCTTTTGTTGGTGGTGATATTTTGGTGCTACAACAGACCTAAGTAAATTGCGGTTATATTGCATTAAAGTTACCAGTGACAAAAAAAATATTGAATTTTGATTTTAACGCCATCTGTTGTTTTAGTTGCTTTTATCGTAACTAGGCGGTCTAAATGGTCTTGGTACTTAAATTATTTAATTTATTAATTAGATAATAAATTATTAAACCAGAGTTCTTGTCATTGCGTGATATAATTTAAAATGTAACCGTTAGAAAAGTAAATTTTGTTATATAATTCTAAATAACTTAGAACTCGCATAACACTAAATTTTTGTGATATGACTGAACTCCGCAATATCTCAATGTAGCTTGTAAATGTACTAATCATTATGTTGATTAGGGTTAGGTTGTTAATTGATTTTTTTTTACACAAATGTTTAAAGTATTAAATTAAAGAAAACTTTGTATAATTGTTTACAAAAATAAATATTTCAGTTTAAAAATTAAATGGAGTTTCAGTCAATTAACACCCTTCCGAATCAACAGAATTTAGTTAATTTAGAAGTAATGAAAAAGTCAACTTTGTAGTATATTAGAACTTTTGGGCCTGTTTAATTTGCTTTAAACTAATATTGTGACTTTTTGCTTTATTAAGAAAATTCCAAATATTGTCATACAAAATGCATGATGTTAAAAAAGCATGTTTTTTTGCTATAAATCTTTAAATTCTACACATAGTTGTGAAAGTAAACCGGAACGAAGGCATAGTCTCATTAAATTAAGACATTTTTGGCTTTGCAAACTAAATTTGGCTAACCGTTAGAGTCCTGGCAAAACTGTCTGTTTTTGTGTTTCGCTTCGCTTCCGGTTCGCTTTCTTGATTTCTACAAAGTGACAAACAGGAATTTCGTTCTCTTTTCGAATTAAGTTTTCTTTGGATACAGACGGAGATCATAGCGCGTTGCCGCGAGAACATCAATATGTTGGACGCGGCGCTCGCCGACGGCTCCGTTTTGTCTTCGGCATTGCAAAGAGATATACGAGGTTTGTAATCTTATTTCTAAGGAAGATATAGCTAACACTATTCAAAAGAAAATTAGCAGACGTTTACTGTCACGAGACCCATCACCCTGTATACAATACTTTGTTATATGAATTCTGGTAAATAAATAAAACTCACTAGTGGTGAACGATCTATATTAAGATTATAACAGCAAAGTATCAAGATGCTTGCAGTGGTAAAAACTGTCACGTGAACGTCAAACTTTAAATGGTGTCCAAGAACTTGAAAAGATGTCTTGAAATCCGTATAACAATTTATTTTAGAATGATTTCATGTTAACCGTTGTTTCGCAAGTTACCTACACAAAAAATCCTCTTATTTTCGCATTATTCTGAAATATATCGAAACCAGTCAGATGGGATTGACTAATTTTTTGCAATATAAAAACGAACAAAAGCTCGGTGGTCCATACACCTTCTGTCACTCACAAAGCTGTTACGATTGCATTAACATCAGTTCATTGAACTTTACGTCTCTTACCGTCCGCTTACTGGTTTTATTAAAGTTTGATTTTATTACCACGTCATATGTATATCTTCTTTTAAGTTAAAGTGTGGAAGCCGTACGCAAAAATATTCACTGTTTGCTCATTTTAATAATCTCTCGTAACTTCGTTCGGCATGTTCCTTTAAAAGTAAATTTTGTACTTGAACTTTTGCAAATTATTACGCTTCAAAGCTACGGTATTTGTAAGAATGATGGAGTGTAATTGCATTAACGTTTTAAAAAAACGCTCCGTTAAACGTCGATTTTGCGAGAAAAATGCGAGCGGTCGACCAAGTTGTAAGTAACCGGTTCGAAGCACAGCCTCCAATCTGGGCTTCTTGGCGATCAAGGCAACTATTATTATTTCGGGGACGTTGTTACGACTTTTTAAATTTATAATGAAATGTTACCGCGTAACTGTAAATAGTAAGGGGTTTTAATCTGTTTCAATTTAGAGGTCAACGTTTAACTGTATTTTATGACTGCTTGAATTTCTCTGTTTATTTTACTTTTCTAGTGACCGGATTGCATTATGCTTTTGCGACGCTATTTATTTTTTACCGTGTTCTATTTTCATCGCTACAAAGTCTATTTCTATTCTCAAGCAAACGGGAAGATGTCCACAAGTTGGGAAACCGGTGGTCATTTTGCAACCTTTTTTTACGATTTAAAAATGGAAGATCGCTGTCTGTCAACGCTTGTTTCTTTTCGTGGTTTAACAAGGAAGTTTTATTGTTTGCTCTCATATTTTGGATCTTTTAAACTCATATTGTAACCAGTTTTATATTAATTAATAATTTAAGTAAATGATTTTTCTCCTAGTAACTTTTATATGAATTTACGGAATTATTATTTAGTTTTTTATTTTAAAATGAATGTAGAATATCCTATCAAACGAACTACACTAAATCATTGAATAGAATAGATAAATATTTCGAGTAGACTCTATACTTATCTTTTGTTCTATAAATTACTCAATATGGCAAAGAAATATTCAACGTTGACATTTTTATGGCATCCTTACTGCACATACGGTGAACATTTCGCTTCCAAACGCCTAAAATAAAGTATCTTCAACATAATTAAGTATAAACAAGCATCTTGTCTAAACTACTTAAGCATTTATTTATAACAAAGTTACTTCTAAGTACTTTAACTCCCCTGTTGTGGAGTTAGTATCTGTACACTTTAGTATTAAAATAACTATTCTATAAATATATCCATTCAGCTTTATAATACACATTACATCGTTGATAAACTCTATTTTGTTATGTAAATGTAATTCTATTAAGAATCTGAAATCATTTAATAAACGCACAATGTTGAGTTAACATATTAAAGTTTGATTTGATACCGAAATTTACGTAAAAATGCAGCATGAGGCATATTATAATAAGAAAATTAAGTTGGTAGTATTGTAATTTGGCTAACATTCATGTATGTAACGACGGGATTATTACTTTACATTATTCTCTGCTTCGCAACTTCAATATCTTACTTCTAATATTATAAATGCGAAAGTTTAGGTGGTTGGATGTTTTTTCGTTAGAGTTTGTAGCCTAAACGGCTGAACGGATCTCGATGAAATTTCGCATAGATGTAGAGGATAGTCTGAAAGAACATAGGCTAGGCACTTTTGTTTTTTTTTAATTCCGCGCAGACGGAGTCGGGGGCGAAAGCTAGTATTCATATTAAAAACGTTCACCTCCCTCTAATTCTTTTAGTTATTTCTGAAATAACACATTTTAGTAAATATCTTTCGTCAATGAAAACGAACTGTAATTTTAGTCGTATTATAAAAGTTTTATTCTATACATGATTTTTGCATTCGAAATAATGGGCATGATTATATCATCAAATCGCACGGTTCTGTAAATATACATTTTTTCACGTAACCACTCGTTCACGATATGACGTCAGCTTATGTTAACCAGAAAAATAAATACCGCCTTGTTATGGATGCATCCAATGTTTCCACTCATATCAGTGTTGTAAAGCGTTTTGATCAGTTCACTATCAATAATGGTAATTATGAAGGAAGTGGTCGTTTATTTTCGAAATGTTAAGAAACCAACGAGATTGGGTATGTTTTTTTAAAGTACACTGTTATTGTAGATGTTCATTTAATAATTGAGTCAATGGTCAGAGTAACAAATGATTAAAACTGTGTTGCTAGAAGGTATAAAACTCTTAAATATAAAATTAACTTCTGCCTTAAAGTACTCTTTGAAAAACACTTTTACCTACTAAGGTAAAAGTGCAGATAGTATTTTTCTGACACAGATAACTAGTTTCTTATTTTTATAGAACGCATCCTACATACTGCAGTGCCAGCGTTCTCAATTTATTACGACTTACGCAATATAAATTGGCGATTGTGCTAAAATTCTTTGGCATTGCGGCCAAATTTAATATCACTTTGTTGACTTTGCTAATAATTCGTGTGTAACGACAATATTTCTATTGCAAGGTTATTGTGATGTCGTCATTATTTAGCATAGAAAGTTACCATGGACTTAAATAGTTTGTCCTTAATGTCTAAAAATACAAAATTAGTATATTAGAGAAAGTTTGAGATTAGCCCCAGTGGTTGCGAAAATAAGGAGTAAAAGGTTAGAGTGGTATGTGTATATGAGAAGGGATGAATCGCATGTAACATGGTAGGAGGGGTACACCGGTAGAGGTAGACCTAAAAAGAGATGGATGGATTGCGTGACGGATGATAAGAGTTATTTGGAGGACGAAAACCCGGTGCGCCGACTCCACGGGAGTAGGATAAGGCAAGGGAGATGATGATGATTGATGATTGATGATTGATGAGTCTAAAAAAGACACTTCTTCGATACCTAGGGAGAAATCAGATTTCCTCGCCAGAGACCTTAGAACTGACTTCTTTCTTCATACAAACATTATAACACAGTTTATAACCTTTACAAAAAACACGTATAAAATGTCTACTCTGGTCTAAAATTTTAAAACGTACACTTGATTCGTATTCAAGCATAATGTAGAATCGAATATATTTTTTCAATAAACTATTGTTTGTAGGCTAGTACGAGTATAGTATATCTAGTTTTATTTGAATCATTACCTGTGGTATTAGCTGAATATTCTTAGCTAATACACTTCTAGATAACTATTTCCACTTTTTCCTCCATCCACATTCCGATTGCTCGTACTCGTTTCTATACCAGCTCGTCAGCACATTTTTTTAAATACCAATTATACTTCATCCATCAAATTATTCTCACAGCTATAATTATTTTCAAACATATCAGTGGGAATGCTGTAGGAACATGTTTCTTTATTGACCATGTTCTTAACTCATCTTAAGCGATAGCATTTGTTTTACGATTTAATTCAAAAGTAATTAATGTTCGGATTCGATTCCTTTTATTACAACTACAAAGTATGATGATTCTTCTTTCGTTCTTGTTAGGATTCACAATAAACCTTTTAGAGACAGAAATAGATTTCGAATTTCAATTACAATTGCCTTGAAAATTAATGTAGGCATCTATTGGTTTTCAATAAATATTTCTAAGATATTTTAATTGTGATCACGTTATGACATGACATACTAAATATTCGATTTAAAGACTTTATAGCTGACATCATCTCTTCAAAACGTGACTTTTGACAGACCGATTGTTTCAATACATGTCTTATGATCTCATAAGTGAGAAGGTAGAGCTTTAGCAGCTGTATTAATCCATACGTTTAGTAGTATGATGTTAAATGTTGCTTCAAGCGCTTTACGGAGTAATCCGGTTTGGTCTGAAAGGTGAAGTACACATTAGAACAGCTGGATACGCCACGAACGACGGACGTGCGTGCCGCGAAAATCGAATATACCGTCGCGAGTGATTCGTGTTAAAGTTTTTTCTTTTTACATCATTAAATTGTGTTTTAAACATTAATAACGTACTTTTAACACTTTTATAGTAAAATGTAAGATTTATAAGTGATTTTTTTTTCGCAATAACGAGAGAAACCGAAGTGGATGCGCTCGAGTGATTTACTTTCGCTTATTTAGAGATGGTATTAAATTTACGATTAATAAATTCTAATGGATATTACGTAATTACATAAATAGTGGGATGACCTTCGGGAGCAAATAAAGTCTAGACGCGCAATTGTTTACCAGCACAGAAAACATATTTAGTTTGGAATAACCAAATTTTGCGACGGATATTTTGCTTGAATATAACTTCTAGTATTTCAAGTATAATTTAATTTAACAAAAAAAATAAGTTTGAGTTATCAGAAGTTTTTTTTTAAATGGATTCATGTTTTTATATTCTCAAATTATCGTTTTGATAGAGTCGGTACCTCCAACTTCCAATCGACGTTAATGTTGTTATAATTACTATAATTTCATCCCATTATCTTATCGTGGGGCACAGATTAAACAATGTTATCACGTTTTTTAACGTTCGGATACTCTGCTAACTATGTAGATAAAAAATACATTCAAAAATATCATTTTACAAAG